GCTGGCAGGGGAGATGCTGTCGCTGGGTACGAAGGACCGAGGTTGGCCAGCCCAGTGATGATTTCTTTTCTTTCTCTTCCCTCCCAGCTTAACCCGCTTGGGGCTGATCCTCTTGCTGTTGCAGTACTTAGCCGAATTCTTCTTCCACATGGCCCGGCTGGTCTGCTTCACGGATGAGAACAACGAGAAGCTGTAAGCAGGCGAGCTGGCCGGGGCTTCCATCCTCTGGTGCCCAGCAGAGCCATCAGCGTGATGGGGGACTTGCTCTCACCTTCCAGCTCGGCGCTGGAGGCTGCTCCTGCTGACGCCTCTGCTTGCCCTCCTGCAGGTTTAACGTCTGGGCTGTGGTGTTCGTGGTCACCAGGCTCTTCACCCTCACCTTGTACATCCTGGTCATCGGCTTCGGGCTGCCGCGAGTGGAGAACCAGGCCCTCGACCCCGAGAGAGGGAATTACTTCAGCTTTCTCTTCAACAATATCCTTTTCAGGTAGGAATGTCCCCTACTGTATCTGTTGCCTTTTTTTTTCCTAATGCATCCTTTCACATGAAGACCAAATTGTGGAAACCTCTCCCATGTGCTCCTTGGTTGTGTTATCCCAGGGTGGTTTTGGCTGAGTTTGGAAAGGCTGGTGGGGATCTGATCTAGGTTCCCTTTAGGGAAGGTCCGAGTGAGGCAGGAGGGTGAGGAGGGGTTAAAGGCTATGGAGCCCCATCAGAGAACAGCCAGTGAATAAGTTGTTTATTGAGTGAAGTTCTAAAGGATGAGTGGAAGCAGGTACCTTCGGGAAAGGCTTGCAGGCTCTCCCTTCTGCAAGCATATGGGCGCTGTTACAGGGATGCAGTTGATGAAAATGGGTTTTCCCTTCAGCTTGGACGTGTTTTGCTGCCTGTTGATGTGGGAAGCAGGGGATGGGGTGAGTTCCCCATGGCTTGCAGACCATCCATCGAAACTGGGAGCCTTCTCACGCGTACGGCAGAAGTTGCTAGGACAGGTGCCTGGTCATTCACAGGCCTTTTGAAGCCATGGACTACTGGCACACCTGAGGATTTGGGGGACTCCCTTAGCTTCCTTCCAGCCACGTCCACCTTTTAGTTGCACAGAGCAGCTGGGGACGGCTTACCTTGACTGCACGGACTGTGGTTTGGGTGGTGCTGGTCGAGATGATCCTATTCATCTATTCGTGCCCTAAAGTCTTAAAAGTCAGCCATGCCCCGAGCACCCGAGAGCTTCACAGTGAGGAGGGAAAGGGAGGTGGCTGCCCTGAGCTCAGGGGATGGCAGAAGGTAGAGATAGTGCCTGGAGAGACGGTGCCTGCCTCCAGCGCTCGGTGCAGCCACCCAGGGGGGACCTTGGCCACCGGCCCCGGTGTGGCTGGAAGGCTGGGCCGGTGGTGGCCTCGCTCCTCTGTTCTCAGCCTGCCTCTTCTCCACCCCTACCAGAATGAGTGTGCTGCTGTTGGTGTGCCTCTTCCAGGCCTCGGTGATGTGGCGCTTCATCCACTTCCAGCTGCGGCGCTGGCGGGAGTACTGGAACGAGCAGAGCAGTCGGAAGCGAGCTGCTGCCGCCGCCGGCACCAAGCAGCAAGCCAAGGCGCTCAAGAGGGACTCGGGTGAGTGCCAGGACTGGTGTACGGTGGGGTGGCAGTGTGGGAGGGCATGGTGGGGGCTTTCCCCATGTCTGTGGGGAAGAAGTTGAGGTTTTGGCCTGCGTGAGGGACAAAGTTCTGTCTCTCCATCCCCAGGTTACCATGAAAACGGAGTGGTGAAAGCAGAGAACGGCACCTCACCGCGAACCAAGAAGCTGAAATCGCCGTAGAAGCAAAGCCTTGTCTCCTGGGGAGGAGGGTGAGATACCGGGACTAAGAAGCAGCCCCTCCTCCTGGTCCTCACGAGCGTCGTCTTGAACGGCTTGGAAACCGGTCATCTTCCCAAGGTGTCTCTCACTCTCCTCCCTTCCTTTCTTACTCTCTTGAACCATTTGCAATAAAACCAAAAAGGTCCCTTTCCCCTGCTCCCTTCCCCTCGTAGGAGCCTTTTCCAACCCTCCTGGTTTTGCCTTCCTCTGTCTCATCGCAAATCAGCGTGCAATTTTTTTTTTCTTTTCTGTTTTAGTGTTTGGTTGGTTTTGGATTCTTGTTACAAAGGCATTGTAGATGGT